GGGGATAAGATATTAGAATTGATAAGTAATCCTTACGAAATTGGCGCGATCATGGCGATAACAAGGAATTTCGTAATAGTACGTGGAACCGGCGCATAAATCAAGAATATGCAAAGATTACTAAAATTTCATTCATATCTGCAGATATTTATTATACGGAGTGGCAAGTTGGTTAATATGCAGCGTATAAGGGCACCTAGAGAAGGACTTTTCTGGACCAGTGGCTTTTTTTTGGCAAAAAACAGAGTGCTGATTTCTACTCAGGTAACATATGATTGTTTTTCTGTCGTCATTTATTATTTGCAATAACCTTTCGTTTGTTTCTCACAGAACGGGCACGCATTTTTGTATTCGGTACCGTGTGCGGAGCGTAAATATCCATCGGAAAACAGTCATTTGCTGGCCAAGCCTGGGCTCATTCGACGTTCGTCCATGCCAAATCTACAGAAATTCAATGTTGAAAAGTCCCTGACACCTCCTTATTCGAGATCCGAAAAGTATGAAAACAATCGTGCTTTCCTTCCTTTTTTTTTTTTTTTTTTTAAAAAAAAAAAAAGATTGAATCATTAAATCGAGAATTATTTATTGACACACCATAGGCCAGAGTTATTGGAAATCGTGTGCTCCGAGGGTGAAGGTATAGATTTTGTTTCTTGGTGGTGAAACTATCTACACATGTGTCAGTAATACTTTCTACGTCCCGATATCGCCATAGATTCCGCCTGCATTAGCGCTTTTGCGAATTCCGGTATGGAAGGAAGGTTGAGCTGTTGGTACTTGGTTGCCTTTCGTAATCGCCCCCAAGGGACATCGTTTGCGTGGAAATCGCTTTCAACAACGGCAAAGGAACCAGGAACCGATGAAAGTAGCCAAAGGAACGTTCTCGAATCAAAATGGCGTACAGGTGAGCGTTATCCTTTTTTTTTTTTTTTTTAAAAAAAAAAAAAAAAAAACCCCTTATGAATCTAACTCGACTATTCATGTAGAAAGGTGTTTATCTGACATATGGCCACTGGACGTGCGCGATGGTCCTGACATCACGACTACCACAACAGTAGATGATGACAAAATAGCGTTTGGTTATGGTATGTCTTGTGTCCTACGATGATTTTCTTACGAGCATTGCACTAAAAAATCATCATCTTCAGACAATGGTGAAATTCATCTCGTGCCAATCTCTCTGGTATTCACGGAGGAATCCCGAATTTTTTCGCAAAGTTCAATTATGGTTTTAAAAGGTCACGTCGGAAAGGTCACATGCATGTTAACGCCAAAGATCAGCTCTGGTCATAAATACCTGGTATCTGGTGGAGAAGATTGCTCAGTTCGGATATGGAGTTTGGAGTATGTTCATTGTGCAGCATATGCGATAACATTCTGTACTTATTCCATCATTCATTTAAAGTAATAATTTGAAATTTTACCAGAAGTGGAAAACGTTTAGCCTCGTTCACTTATCACTCTCAGCAGGTTACACATCTGTTCGAATCGCCCGTCGAAAATTGCCCAAGAATCCGAGGATGTGTGGTCTCGGTCGCGCGAGATAATTCACTGGCAATAATATCTTTGGAAGAGATGAGCTGGTAAAAAAAAAAAAAAAACCCCTCACCCTACCATAATAGGGAAGATGTCCTGTATGTCGTTTTCACATGACTTAATATGTTTTATCAATGTTAGTATCTATGTTTTCGGTGGCTACCCTTATCCAATTCAAAAAATTCAGTGGAGAATATCCGAACAGTTCTTGGTGCTGTGCTATGGTGACGAATCTGCACATGTCTGGCAGGTTGGTTAATTTTGAAATTCATCATCGTTTAAACGTCGATTGATTCATTGACTATTCTTATTTATTTGTCAGATGAATAATTCGGAACTCCATCAGGTCTTTACTTCTGCAAGGGAGCTCATCAATGATGAGAGCTGGATAACGAGGTTTCTGTTTTGTTTCAGTTTTCATGTGTAAAATAAATGTAAGGAAAGAAGAAGTCTTTTATACTAAACATGTTTAAAATTACTTAGCACAATACCACCAAATCATGTAGATGACAGTAAGAAAAACAATACTTTAACATCATCCCCTATACGTTCATCAATCGATGGTAAACACTTTCTTGGATGTTAACCGTCTATTTTTATTTCAATCTTTATGACGTATTCAATCATCTTGTTGCA